TTTCTTTTAAGTTGGAAGGAACTTTAGAAATTATCTAAGACTGGCCCAACCTCTCCATTTGACAGATGAGGAAACTGAACTATCTCTGCATTACCTCCTGCTCTCACCAGGCTAGATGCCAGGTGCCAGCCAGGGCACTGCCCAACGGTGGGCCAGCTCGGTTCCCATGGAGAACTACTGTAATTGATTGAATGACCCCTTCCCTGAAAGCAATGTGAGACAATGGGGCACCAGCTGACACTGCAAACTCAGATGATACACTTTTAGTTGCGTGTGATGTTTTTGGAGGAGTTTCAGTTTTTTATGAACCCTAGGCAATCTCTTTTGATATTGGTTACTAGGCTCCTGTGAAATTGAGGACATCTTATTGCATTCATGTAATTTCAATGTACATTGAATCCCAGGCCAAAGGGAAAAAAAAAACGAATGAAAGATTGGTTGAATGTCCATTTGATTGTTTTGTTTTCAACAAGCTATGGACATTATATTGGGGCCTTTTGACTCACTGGTGACATGGCTTCTAGCTTGCCATGTTATAGTTGGCAACTGATCATATTTCACTATAAAATGAAAGATGAGACTGATGAAAAATCTTGTTAGAAAGCCCCTGGCTAAGAGGAAGCCCAGACTGAGATGCAGGTAAGCTAGTGTCCAGGAAATAATATAAAGAGCACAGGGGATTGTGCTGTGGCCCAGGCTTAAAGAATTCTTGAATTCTCATCTGAGTTCCGTCAGTTGCCATGATGTTTTAAGCTGACTTTTCCTCATTATCTTGCCCAGGTGACTGTCCTGACCCCACATAGGTCAGTAGATTAAATAACGACAGCAACATGCTTGAGTTGACCCTGTCCCCCTCTTTGTCCCTGAGCTGAGCTGTCCTGCACTTTTGCTGTGATTTTCCACAAGGCAGGTTTTGGGATCTAAGGACCAGCCTGGTGACATGGGCACTGAAAGTCTTACAACCTGGTCCCCATTCTGTCTGATCTCAAGGAACTTGAGACAGAGACGCAGCAGCACACTGCCCCATCCGCCTGCTGACCCCGCCGGGCATCTACACTCTTCCTGCTGTTTGGAGAGAGCAGGAAATGACCCTAGAGAAAGTGAGGACACATGAGATTTCTGCAGACTGCCATCAGCACAGAGGGGAAGGTGTCCCAAAATGTGAGGGACCCGTTTTGCTTTGTAGGCAGGTAGAGAGGGTGATCCTACCCAGGTGCTTAAAAGTAGCAGGAGGGAACGGTGAGGCAGGGGCAAGGGCTCTGTTGTGCTATACTGGACAGTGAGTGGTTCCATGTCTGTGTCCTGAAACCCCATTTTCTGGTTAGAATCTCAGCTATGCCACTTATCAACTCTGTGGCTTAAAGAAAGTATCTTAACATCTCTGAGCCTCAGTTTTCTTATATGGGAATTGAGGACAGTAATAACTAGCATTCAGTGACTACTTGCTATATGCCAAGCCCAGCTCAGAACACTTCACTCATTATCCATTTAATCCTCACAACCACCCCTCTTGCCCCCATTTCACAGATGAAAAAACTGAGTCTCTTAGCCACTCATTAAAGCGGTGAACAACGTTCCTTTCCTCACAGGACTGTTGTGAGAGTTAAATGAGTTAATCCCGCTGAGTGCTTAGAGCAAGTCACTCCTCCTCCCACCCCCACAGGTGCTCACTAGATGTGCACAGCCACTATCACTTTGTGATGACATCATCTAGGGCCAGTAGCCAGACCCTGAAGTGGAACAGGGAGTGGGAACAGAGATGTGACAGCAAGAAGCTTGAGGTACATCTGAGATGGCACGGTTTTCCTTTCTTTGCCTGGCAGTCACCTCTTCCCACCAAACAGCAGGGTTCCAAAGGTGCACAGTTTTTACCTCTGCATACAATTCCACAAATAAATTCTGTGCTAAGTTTGGCCCAGGTTATCTGTCACCCCATCTTCATGCCTTTGAAGCTCTGAGCACAGGCAGAAAAATCAAATTACTCAGCCCATAATGCCCCCACAGTCTCCTTCCTTGTGTTGTGGGTTCCTGAGTAAGAGGCAGCCCTTCCTCTCGGGGCCTGACCCTGCGTTCTGCTCACCATGCCAGCTGCATAACCCCTAGCAGACCTGTGCTGCCCTGTGCACCCCACACTGACCTCCATGGACTGGTTACCCAGACCCCCTGCCAGGGGGCTGCTGCAGGGTTTGGCCAATGGGAGGCACGGGTGGGTACCAAGGAGGCAGGAGGAGAGACAGCCAGCTGTTTCTTCCCTGCCTCCTGGTGCCTGACAACGATGCCCTGAGATGCTTCACTCCTGCAGCTCCCACAGGGTGGAGGCGTGAAGTCCTGTACAACCCCGTCCCCTGGGCTCAGGTGATTCTGCTTCCTCCTCTTGCCCCTTTGGCCCTGGGGGTGGTCATGGCCCCCCTCCATTGTTGCTGGCAGGTGCCCCTCACTTGCTGCCTGTCACTTCCCACAGCACCACAGGCAGTGCTTTAACTCACCTCTTCACGGGCCACCTGGTTGAATGTGGGTCCTGAGACTGGCAGCCAGCATGTTCTCACCCCCTCTCCCAGCACGTCCATCCTTTATTACTCTGTGAGCTAATATGGCTAAAAATACCAAATAGTTTTTCTTGTTTATTGACACTAAAATTAGAAGTGATAGATGAGCATGAAAAAGAAAACAAATATTCTCAGCACACACTATGTTACCACATGCATTTTTTCTTGTGACAAAAAGATCATAAGCATCCACTATTGTTTACTGGCTGAAATACATTATGAACAGTTTCCTTCATTAATGAATGCACCCTGACATCAATGAATTTTGTTCTAAGATTCTTCATGGCCACATAGAATTCTGTCTAGGTCTGTACCACAGTGTAATCAGTCCTCCGCTAACACACCTGCAGGCGGCTTCCAGTTTTTCCTCGTTACAAACACTGCTCCAATAAACATCCGTGCACAACGTAAAATACTTGAAAACACAACACAATCAGCTCAGTCTTCCTAAAGTAAAGCCACACATACGCAGCAGCAGGGCCACCCCCATCTCAAAAGATGATGATTTCTGCCTCCCCTGCCTCCCACTGTCCTGAGGTTCAACTGAGAAAATGTAAATGCAAGTTCTTTACAAACTGTAAAGTGTAAGGGGTGACTATTAAAGCACGATCTCACTCTTTTCTTGACCAGTCTGCAAGGCAAAGCACGGTGTGGATATATCTTCAAGGCACGTTGTACTGACAATTTTGAGAACAAGAATGGAAGTCTTTTACTTTTAGATTTTTATATATTTATTTCTCTTTAGCACAACAAAGACCTGTGTGTAAGAAAAGCAGCCTTCCTGTGCGAGACCAGCTGGCAGTGCGATCTCTCTGTTCGGGGTGTGCCAACTCATTGTGTCCCCTCGACAGGGCCACCTCAAACAATCGAAGGAATCGGAGTCGTCCGAAAGGTCTCACAGCTCTGGAGTCCTGCCTACAATACTGGTTACCCCAACTCCTACGGCTGATTAGTCATAATGACTACTTTCTGTTCCTTTCCTGATAGTCTCTTCTAAAAAGCACTTTAGATAACTCAGCTTGATTAAAAAAATTGAGCAGCAGTTTAGATTTTTTAAAATGGGAATTTTTATGTCAAGTATAGAAGCTACGTTGACATCTCACATGAAAACTACCCCATCACTCAGAAAGAGGCACTCCATTTTGGATGAATTCTTGATTTACTTTCTGCAAATCTCAGTTCATGGTTTTCTCCGCTCTTTGCTAAGGCAATACTATTAAAATGTCAGAACACAGTTTCCTGGAGCAAGAGTTTTATAGAGTTTTCAATTCTTAATGAGAGGCATCAGATAAGTTTTTAAAATCTGACTTGAGTCATGCTTAATGCAATTTCTTAACTAGTGTGAAGAGAAGAGGTTTCTGTGTGTTAAAGTGGTTACAGTCGACCAAGGTAAATGATGTTCTGGGGCGTGCTATCCTATCGGGTTGCTTGTTTTTTTTTTTTTTTTTTTTGAGACAGAGCCTCAAGCTGTCCCCCTGGGCAGAGTGCCATGGCATTACAGCTCACAGCAACCTCCAACTCCTGGGCTCAAGCGAGTCTCCTGCCTCCGCCTCCCAAGTAGCTGGGACCACAGGCGCCCGCCACAACGCCCGGCTATTTTTTGGTTGCAGCCATCATTGTTGTTTGGCGGGTCCGGGCTGGGGATTCGAACCCGCTACCTTAGGTGTACGTGGCTGGCGCCTTAGCCGGTTGAGCTATAGGCGCCGAGCCGGGTTGCTTGTTTTCTAGTTGGCTTTTCTACAAAAATTCAATAAAGGAGACATAACTTTACTTTATAATGTCAAAAAGAGTTTTTACTTTAAGTCCCCATGAATTAAGAAAATGCAAAAAACCTCCTCTCGGACTCTTTTTGCCATCTACTTGACATTTTTCTCTGTTCCGGGAAGGACAGGAAGGTGGCGCAGGGCATGGTGTTGGTGTGCCTGATCTAACTTGCCTTAGCAGCATCAGAGGACCAGCGCCTGTTTTCTGTGTGAGCCAAGGAAGCACCTGTTACCTGTGAGGAGCGGTCTGCAGGCCCCGCACAGCGATGCTGAAACTGCTTTTGTTTCCTTCCTTCCTAATTTTGTTTCTGTAGATGTCTCACTGTTCCCAGGCATTTGTTCATTTCCATCCCTACCACTCCCCTCACTTTTTAACGGTTGCGTATTCAACCAAAGAAAATGAGTAAGAAAAACAATTAGGATAGTAAAAAGAAGAATAACAAATTCAAAACTGCCATATGTGAGGCCCATGGGAGTCCCTGATTAATTTTCATTTTCATTGTTTAGTTCTCAGATTGGCCTGTTTCGGTAAATGTGAGAGTGAGTGTGGTCATGGACTTGATTTTCCTGTAGCTAAAGGAAAAAGAAAATGAACCAACCCAAGTCTCTTTCTTACCATGATGGCTTCCTGGAAGGCAAGAACTCTAACTCTATGAGCCAGTAGTCCCAACACCACAGCAGTGGAACTTTGTCACACAGGAATTCCCAAAATGGAGATTTTGCTAGATTTTAGAAAGCAGTCAGATAACCTTGAAACCATCATAGTTGTAGACAAAATTGTGCATTCTTTTTTTTTTCTCTCTGTTGTCCTTTCTTGGATCTATATTCTAGTACACATTTTGGGGTACTTGAAATACTGATCCTACAAAAATAAGCAATTAGAAAATAGTTATAGGTGGAGGACTCTCAAGGGGTCTAGATGAAAAGAAAATTGCCTGCATGATGATTACACAAAATGTACTTGGAGAAATGCAAAAGTGACTGGGGTATGGTGTGTCTCAGGCCTATCATCCTAGCACTTTGGGAGGCTGAGGAGGGAGGATTGCTGGAAGCCAGGAGTTCAAGACCAGCCTGAACAACATAGTGAGACCCCAATCTTGACTAAAAGCAGAAAAATTAGCTGTGTGATGACACACACTGGTAGGCACAGTTAATTGTGAAGATGGCTGGAGCATAGAAGTTTGAGTGTGCAGTGACCCATGATCACACCACTGTACTCTAGTCTGGTTGACAGAGAGAGACTTAAAAAAAAAAAAAGTGGACAGTATGCTATATTTTGGGTATTTGGAAAAAAATAGGAAAGGCCCCTTATAGGAGCAGGACCATGAGGTGAGCCTTAGGTAGGAAGGCTGGACGTGACTCAGAAGGTGCAGAGAAGGAGGGAAGATGTGGCTCTGGAGGGCTACGAGTTGACTGAGGCCAGTCTGAACAGGTGTGCTAAGGAGATGGCAAGTCTGACGACAAAGGTGTGTTCACGGAAGGCCAATGCTCCCAAGGCGGGTGTGTCGCTAGGAGCCAGCTAGAGCACCACGGGAAAGCCTCGGGGATGTGGACTTCATCCTACAGGCCACAGAAAGTGACTGGATATTTGGGGGAGGAGAGAAAGAAGCATGGGAAGAGATGCCTTTCATTATGCCGAACGTGGCAAAAGCAGGGGCAGAGGCCCCGTGCAGTCCAGCTGTCCAGGAGCCCTGGACAGGGTGAGCATGGACGCTGGACAGGATTCTGGGGAACACCTCTCGGACAAAGCTTTTTACTTTCTCTAATCCCCCAGTTCCATTCCCCTACCTCGCCCTTGACAGTCCAATAAACTCTGCCGTGCCGAGACACAAAGGGCAGATTATGACTTAACATAGGTGCAGGGTAACATGAAACTACACGATAAAGAGACACATGAAGCAGCGGGCACTCCAGGAGCAACAACGTCTCACAGAAGTCTTCAAAACACATCTAGCAGTACATAGGTTTTAATACTAGGAAGTAAACGAAATATCAGGGAGTTGTTGGGGGGTGTGGGGAGACGGTTATACAAGAAGCTTTTTACTCCAAATTGTTCCTCCACTTGTGGCATTTGGGTCGTGGCTGAGTGCCATGGAACCAAAAAAAAGCAAGTTAGTTTGGATTGTCTCATTTTTCTGCTTCCCGAATTACATAGATTGCTCACGGGCTTTGCTCTCGCCACATCTGGACTACAAGAATGAGTCATTTCGACAGGCACCCCAACAGAAGTTTCTGTTCTCTGCAGTGGCTCTGATGTGTACTCTCCACGTGGAGAGCCTGTTACACAAAGCGTGAAGGAAACAGAAATATCTAAAGCCACCATGTAAATCCCCACAGACTTGGGGTCTTATAGAAATCGGTCCCGGCCAGAATGACCTCCGGCATCTGCCAAGGAAAAGAGCCTTGCGTCTGAGAACGTTCTCTCCAGCCTCCCATGTTGCCTTTTGTGACAGGCATCCATGGGGTGACAATTAGGTGTGGTGGGTGGGCATTTCTGTGGGCTGGCAGCCTATTTTAACTTTCAACTGTGGGAGTGAGCTTTAACTCTGTGCTAAAATTAGGGGAATCCAGCAACTCCTGTGGTTATTTCAATCAGTTCCCACTTATTGAGTAGCAGCAGCACAGTTAAGTAATAACATGGTAACCTTGCCAAGACGTAAATGAAATGCTGAGTGTTGCCCAGTTGGCTCTGAAATCACTTCAGTGATCTAAGTGGAGAGCCAAACCAACAAAAGGACTGCTGGCCCCTCTGGGGCTGGAGGGGCTGGGGACAAGGAAAAGAATCCCGGGAGCAGCTCCCAGATGCTGGAGAGAGGCTCACAGGAGCAGACACCGATTGCCTGGCAATCCAAGTTTCACTAAAGAAATGCCAAGAGTGGTCAGGGAGGCTTGGTTTGATGTCCCCTCTCAGGGAGGGCACACTGGCTGTGCCAGAGGATTCTGCCATCAGAGCCAGGGCTCCCGACAAGATCTTGCCCCTGGCGCATGAGTTCACACTCTGGTAATGAACATAACAAGGATCTAGATAAGCACGCTGCAGAGAATACTGTTCTGACTGGCTCTACCCGGAGAGGACTGGCTCCAGCTGAGAGAGGCAGAGGCTGAGATGCCAGCCCCCAGGTCAGGCAGGCAGCCAAGGTCCAGAGAAGATGAAAAGGAGGAGGAGGGCAGAACCAGAAGACTTGAAGGAGCTTCCAGGCAGGACGCTCGTGGAAAGTCCTCAGTCAACCCCACTGGGGCAGGTTAAAGTTGAGGGGCGAGACCTGCACTGGCAAAGGCCATTGATAATTACAGATTTATCACTCATTGTTTAGATTAGGCAATTTGCCATTCCCACTGTTCCAGCTGTGTTGGCCATTTTCCTCTGGATGCTTAAGCTGACCTGAGTCCAAGTCCAGGGCAGGGTTCCCACAGGGGCAGGAATGTCAGGAGGCAGTGTCATGGGTGGCTGTCTCAGAAGTCTGCCTGCCACATGTGTCCTGCTCATTAGTCTATCTGAGAAGGCTGAGGAGATGGAATGAACAGCAGAAAAGACAGAAAAAGGGAATCCACCTATTGCTCTACACATCTGAAGGCGGCTGTGCTCAGAATTACCTAGAAGCTTTGAAAATATAAGGAAACCTGGACCCCACCCTAGATAATCGAATTTAACTGGTATGAGTTAGGTCCTCAGTGTCGGTATTCTTAAGTCTCCCCATGAGATTTCAATGAGAAGTGTGCTTGGCAAACACTGACTTGGTCTTTTTAGCAAAGGTTAGGTAAGGAAGGAGATTGCCGCTTCAACTAGCAGAAAGCATGGGTGTAAACTCTAAGGACTGTCTAGGTGGAAAGTCATGGTAAAGGTCACCAGGTGGATGCTGTCTCTCTTCCCCTAGCTGAGGGTTGACTGACCTCCACGCCATCCCCAACAAGGAGAGGTGCCTCGACCTACGGAGCTCCCTCCCAACCCCCACAAAGACAAGGCCAGGCAGCTCACAGAGGGCCCCAGCGGCCTGCTCAAAGCTTACCTTGTGTCAAACTGATATCAATGCTCTCTTCTATTCTTCTTCTTATCCTTTGAGTTTTAGTGGAAAGACACAAAGAAAATTCCACATAAAGTCATTAAAAAAAAAAAAATCTAAGCAACCAGCTGTGTTCCTGGCTTGAAAGTTTGGCCCCATTGTACCTTCAAACAACGAGGAAGCCTGCTGCAGCCAGAGGGACAGGTCTCAGCACTTGTGAAGTCCACCTCCCTTTTCCGCCCCTAGAAACCCACCGGCCCCACGTCCTGCCCTCTACACCACCAAGTCTTTCTTCTCCTAACAGTACTTAATCTGTTACTTTGACTTTTGTTCTAATAGTCACCTTTATCTTAAAATGCAGGCTATACAAAAAGGTAGCAAAAAGCTTTTGCATCACGAGTTATTTAGCATTTCCAACCCGCAAATATTTATTAAAAGTCTATTCTGTTCCAGGTAGTACCGGGGTCCAGGGAATTTAATGGTGGAACAAAGGCAGCCAGAGTTCCTTCCTCCCAAGAGCATTCACTGAATCATCATACAAATACCTTATTCTGTGTCACATAAACACATGATCGTCACAGCTGTGACCCTTAGTGCGCAGGAGAGGCACCTGGTGACTGGAGGGCACGTCGTGGGGCCTGAATTTCCCTGAAATTACTGAGGCTTGAGCTGAGATGGGAGACGTGGGGAAGACTAACTACTGGAAGGAGGGCCCCAGAGTGTAGCCCAGGCAGAGGCCCTGGGTGTGGAGGGAATGTCCACATAGAAATTGAGAGAAGAAGTGTGTGGGGCTGAGGCCCAGTGCAAGTGACAGGAGGCTGAAGAAGGGGCAGAGGCCCCACTAAAACACAACACGTGATCCCAAGAACCATAGGAAGCCAGAGAAATGTTGACCAGGTACAAGGAGGGCAAAGAAGTTAGAAAGAGCCTCAGCCTGTCCTGTGCAGTGGATGTGCTCAGCCCTCGGATGCTGCCTGGGTCCCTGGGCTGTTGCCCATGGAGAGGGGCACCCACTGTCCCATCTCCACCACCTTCTGCTTGCCACTGCAGCTGCCCTGGTCCCCAACAAAAGCCAGGTGATACACAACTCTGCCATCTGTGTTTTGAACAGCGATTTCATAATGGAGTTTCCTGATTGGGGCCAGCATTGTTCAGAAAAAACTTGCAAGCAGCTAGATTTTCTTCCACTAAAATGTGATGCATGTAAACAAGATTTCTGTAAAGAACACGTGCTTCACACAGATGTCCTTTGCATTCAAGAAGGATGTTTGGGTCCCAGTATGCCCACTTTGTAAGCCCCATCTCTTAAAAAAAAAAAAAAAAGAGGGAGAGATACCAGATGTGGTTGGTGATCACATGGATAGAGACTACAAATATTCTATCATCCTGGGAAGAATAAAAAGAAGATTTCTCACACACCAGGGCTCAAAGGAGGGATGTTAAGGAAAAAGAGATGCTGCAGGTGGCCTGTGACCAGTGTCGTGGCAATTTCTGTATCCAGCACAGACAGCCTCTGACCACAGCTGCCGAAGAGGGAGCCACAGCACCAGCAAAGCTGGGTGAGAAGGGACTCTTAGCTATTACTGAGCTGGCTTAGAACACATGGTGGGATAAGTAGAACCAGCATAACCTCCGAGGTGGGGAATGGAATTACCTCAAGTATTGTTCCATGCTGAGTTGTGGATCTTAAATATTGGCTGTTAGAGTTGGGGTGAATGTAATAAAATCAGATGCCAAATTAAAAAAAAAAGAAATAGCCTTTATATAAGGCCCTCTGCATTAATAATTCATACCAGTTACTCTGTATTTGGGTTTTAAA